ATTCCTGGTCTGCGTTATGCCTCCAATAAACATCACACACGTCAGGAAAATATGAAAGCTCAGGTTAACTAGCATATGCCAGCTTTTTACACTGATCCTGATCACACTGTTAAAAAGAAACAAGTTAGACAACATAAAACACAGCTGCATTATTGTCTTTCAGAAACTAGCAAGATACACTTGTGATAGATGAGATACAATTACTGATAATGATTGTTTGACTACCATATACTTTGTAATCAAATATAATCTCTGGTCTTCATCACAACAAATTAAAACACCCTCCTATTAACTAGCTTTATACAACTATTTGGGGCCTGATTCAAAAATTTCAGGCTTCAAGCTTTCACGCAAACAGAAATGTAAAAGGCTGAGGAATTTGTTAAATTCTACCATCATTCTTAAGCAGTCTCTTCTTTAACTCTTCACTTTTGCTTCATGATGAAAGAAATACATGGTTACGAGAGCTAAATCGTCATCCTCAAGAACAGATGAAATAGCGACTTGCTTAAGCGTTAGTTTGCATCAACATATTTTATCGGAAAAAAGAGCAGATTACTATATTGTGTTCCGATCAAAAATAAAAAGCACTATGAAACTGATTTTTTTTTTAGTCTAGTAATTTTGATTCATACCTGTGATGGTATATGTAACTGACTATGATCATCAACAGGCACACTAGCAAAACCATGGCAGTGGCATAAATTACTGGATGCAGAAGATCAGCTGACTGTGTATATAATTCAGCTCCTGTCAAGTCCTGACAAAAAAAAAAAAAAAAAAATTAACATTAGTGCACCTTATCTCTTCATTTTGTAGGGGTGGGGAGAATGGCAGAGGAAACAAAATGAAGAAGTAACAGAAACCATCTAGATGAAATCCCTTTCCTCTTGCCACAACCCCAACCCTCCAATTATTTATTATTTGATGTTCCTGACTTTCTTCCACAATTACCTGCTATTCTGGTTGACCTTTAGAAATGCAGTCGCACATCTTCTAGAACTCTTAAACTTCACATATACTTGAATATATACAGAAGTTAGCAGCTTACAGACACACACCATTTTCTTCTACAAAATACTTATATGTATAGCATGTAGAACAACTATGTGTTTCAGTTATGATTATTATCTTCTCCAACAACCCAAAGAACATTACAGAAAGTGCCCTCAGCAAGTTTCTTGATGACACTATAGACTGGGGAGACTGATCAATAGATTGGAGGATATTCAGAGGAATGTTGGCAAGCCAGAGAAGTGGGCTGATAAAAAAAAAAAAAAAATCACAAAATTTAGCAAATAAAATGTGAAAAGATCTACATCTGGGATGGAATAACCCCATGTATGCAACAATACAGGCTGGGCACCAGACTGAGTAGAAAGTAACCAGAGAACCATCTGAGGGTACTGGTAGGCAAAAGCTGATCACAAGTCAGCAGTGTAGCCCACAGTGCAAGGTCACACTTTGCTGTACCAGCAAAACCACAGCAACTGGGTGATTATTCCTTTCTGTTCAGCAGTGAGATCACCTGTGCAGAACTGTCTTCAGTTTGAGGCTCCCCAGTACAAGAAAGGCACTGACATACTGGATGGAGCAAGTCTAACAGATCATTGGGATGACTAGAAGGCACACAATGTCTGAGGCTGAAAAAGCTGTGTTTGTTCATCTTTAAGAAGAAGGTGGGAGAAATCTCATTATTATATTAAGCTTCCTGCTGGAACACTATAAAGATGACCAAGTCAAATTCTTCTTGGAGATGAAAGGCAATGGACATTATCAGCAACATGGAAAATATCTGATTGTCAGATACAGGAAAAAAAAAAGTCTGAGGAAAGTGGTCACATACTGCCCAGAGACACTGTGTAATCTCTGTCCTTGGAGATACTCAAAGCTTGACTCAATATGACCTGGAGCAATGTGATCTGACTTTGAAGCTGATCAAACTTAGAGCAGGTAATTGGACCAAATGACAGCCAGATGTTCCTACCAGACTGTTATTCTAGGATTACTGCTTGACTGGAATAGATAGTTGATAACTCAAATGGAATTCAACAGCTCTTTAGCATTGTTCTGAACCCACACGCCAAAATATTACTCAAGGAGTAAGCATGAAATGGAACCTTGGACTGTTAAAGCACGGCAGTATGTCAAATAACATCTGAGGAGTGACACTTTCGTTTACCAATAGGAATAGAAAGAACAAATAATTCTGTTTGGATCCCATTACAATTTACTAGGGTTCCATTTCCATAATGGTAATGAACACTGGAAAAAAAAAAACCCTTCTGTCCCTTCCAGCACAAAATAAAACAAGTTGCTTAACTAAGATTAGTAGAAAAATCTATTAAAAAGCATTTTTCAGAACAGATAGGATACAGAAAGCTCTCTCACCTATAATTCTGAGTGAGAGTCACTCTTAAACCTCTAGAGTTGGCAAAGTTTGAAAGTGTGCTGGGGGAAAGGAGATCAAATCTGACATTCACAAAGAACAGCAGAACGGTAGGAGGAAGCTTCATTTTGTTTTGAGGGAAAACAGTGATATACTATCTATTTTTAAGGTTAAGACAGGTAATCCGATTTCAAGGACAGAGGAAGAGTTCTTGAATTGAGGCTTACAATTAAATTAGTCAGCAGTCTCTTCACCACTCCTTCAATTTCTTTCATGAGAATAGAAATTTGTTATTCCTAACTAACAAGTTCCTTTCAAACTAATTTAATCATATTGCCAGTTTGATTTTTATGTATTTGGTTTTCTTTGGCACCTGGAAAAAACACTTTGAGATCCTAAGATACTATGCCTCAGGCAGCCAGTGTCATCCAATTTCAACACCACCCATGGCCTGGTTGACAGCCAGCTGGAGATCCCTAGGAACCCATTGCTGGTACAAGCATAAGCGAATGTATTGTCACACATAGCCAGCGAGTAATGGAGAAGAGAAACTGGAGAATTCCTGTTGCTGCTTCCAGATTGGTGACAGGTAACAAGTTGTCATGCATATATCGGTGTGAACTTATAGAACAAGAGCTACAAAATCACAAGATTTGCAACAATCTTCTAAAATATCTGAGAAAAATCAGTACGCCCAGCCTAGGTAGCAAAGGCCTGGACCAAATACGCGCTAAGTCAATGGAATTCTTACTACAATTGCACTGACATTTTTTTATCAGATCTACTAAAAGGAGTGAGAGGAGATAATAATGTTATTTCTGAGTTAAATTAATCCTAAATAATAATTAAATAAAGAAAAGTGACAGTAAAAATTACAGTAGAGATGTCATTAAGAACATGGGGGCATTTATAGCCAACTGGCTGAACTCTGTTTCTTCTCAACTACCATTGCTGATTTTATTTCCTGTGTTGTAGGACCATAATAATGAGCTTTCAGCTGAACATCCTGGTTATCTCTTCTATTATTAAACAGTGGTTAAAATTATTTCCAAATAAATACAAAATCTTCTAGCGGCATCTCCCTAAATCATTAGATTACAGAACTAGGCTCTCAGTTATGGGTTTCCTTATCAGAGAGGACTTTATATACATTTCAGAACATAATGTAGACAGGTCAGTACATTACAACCTGCTTTCTTCTACAAACATATGTACTAAAGTAGACTAAAAAGGAGTGAAATAACTCTGGTTAAGTCATTCCCCACCCGGACAGGGTGATACAATATTGTGTTCAGGTCCCTCCTGCCACTACTGTTCATGTATTTGATGTTAATGACAACAGTTGAATTAAAAGCCAAACTTCTAAAACTGAACCCAAAGGAGTTTCCTACGAGCCTGGGGCCAGAACCTAGACTTCCACAGCTCTGTGAAGGTCTACAATTGAAATAGGCTATTATGACTTTTTAGTTAATATATGGATAAGGCATCATGGAAACCTTTTTTAGCAGCTACTTAGACATCCAGAGCTTTTGCAGTGTATTAACTGTGTGCAAGGAACATCTAACAGATGAACATTACTCTGTCCTCCTCCACCTCTCCAGCCCCTACAGCCTAATATTTTGGGAAGTCGCTAAATATTTAAATACAGTTTTGAGCAAGCACAGAATGAGAGGCACTGGCAGAAAAAGAAGAAAGCTGCCCCTTCCTCTAAGCTTTTTGATTTCTGACTGTCAGCAGTTCTCTATACAACTCACAATAAGATATTGATATAAACTTACCATGTATTAATTTAGAAACAGTCATTTACAGCAGCAGATTGAATATGCTCTTCATTTTTCTTCCTCCAGGTGGCAGAAGTGTGACCAATTTAAAGCATACTCTCTATATGCATACTACATATACAAATGAAGTTTAATTCTATTTTAAAGAATACTTATATTTTAGGAAAGGATTATGTATTTTAAAAATATCAATGAAGGGAGCTACAGGATTATAACAGTTTGAAGGAATTTAAAACAGTACGTTCAGAAGTAAAGGGAAAATTTGCTCTCTTTGAGCTATTTTAAAAAGCTCGATATGAAAATCAATTTCATTTATGTTTAGCTTTTTGCTATTCTACTAAATTTTCTTAAGAGGAAGATTTTTGAAAATTTGAGTTGCAAAACAAAAATAGCAACTTCTCATACACTGATCATCCTAAAGGAATCTTTGTTCTTTCATGTATGATTACATAAAAATATATATTTAATTCTACACAGAACATATTAATTACAAAAAAATACCAAATTTACACTTAAGTTCACAATATTTTCTAAACTTCTTACTATTTTACTCAGCTTCCTACTAGCCTACCATTTTTATGTATCACATTTTATCATTTAGCACCTGTGGCGATGACTGATGAGCAGTGTAGCAGTCACTATCTGTAAAAAGGGAAGCTTCCCAGGCCAAATTCTGAAATTAAGAGCTCTGGGAACAGACAAAGAAGAAATTCTACTTCATAACTGTAGAGCACCAAAAGAAGGTGTCTCACTCCCTTCAACTTTGTTTTAGAACTCGTTAACCATTTTATTGACACCAATATGTGAAGATTAGAGTTCAGATACTACTTTTTAAGCAGTATTTCAAAAATACTTTGGATAGTAACTAAGTGTTTTGATTTTTTTTTTTCCCTTTTCAATCCATTTCTTCTGTTAATAGACCTACATACCAGTACCTGAATAGGTAATTTGTAATGGAATAGCTATGTCTGGTCATGGATCACCAAAAAACAACCCAAACAAAAACGCAACCAAAAAACCCACCACCACAAAAAAACCCCAACCAACTAGGAAAACACTCCTGCCGGACAATGCTAACAAATTGAATCTAATGCAGAGAAGATTGGGTGTTTTTTGACTATTACCTTCATTTTAAACTGCCATTATTAGACTGAAGTTCATAAAAGCCCATTTGATTAAGCAGCTTCATTAAAATGTCTTCCTATAATATAGTACTTTTCACAGGAAAATTCTTTTTTGTGTATTATATTCAGCAACTAATTCCACTTTGACAGATTTCCACTTAAACCTCATCTTACATCAACATTTATATCAACACAAGCAAAACCTGAATATTTATTTCTTATGTCTAGTTTTCATGAAATGGAATGTGGGAATGCTCGTTTTCTTTAAATCAAGAAAAAAAGCAAACAGAATTGCATTTTGAGTATTTTTAAGTTCCAGAAAGAGATATGTAATTCGAAGTGTCGTACCATCAAAACTGCATAGTTGCTGAGGGAGTAGCACTGAATGGTAGTAATATTTTCATCGGACAGAAGAATGCGACAACCATCAGATTTCCATCCCCCTTGTCCGTTCAGGAGATCAAAGTCCCACTGAGCTGCAACAGCATCTGCTCCATGTGCAATGCGCCGCAGTGTCACATTTATAGGAACGTGGTGACTGGCTAGATTTAAACCATCTGTTACAAAAGAAGTGTATTTGCACATAAGTTTCTCAACAAGTAACACATTAGAAGATAAAAACCTTTTACGAGATATATACCAGTCAAAATGAAGGAGTCAAAAATGTTCCTTATTTTTAAAGATCATAAAAAGTAATATTAAAAAACGAACCTATCTTCGCAAGAATAACTGGTGTTACAACTGTACGACGCTTCCCATCGTCAGCCAGATTTGTTGAATTTCCTGTTGCTGGAAAAAGCTTTCCATTGCGAAACGCAATAAGCTGAAGCTTACAGACAGATTCATCTGCTGGTCTGATTTCTCTTTTTTGCTTTTGGGTGAAAAGGGAAGCTGGCAACTGGATAGAAGCCTCTACAATTGTGTTCTAGAAAAAAAATAGATTTTTAAATTTTAAAGAGAAAATTAAATTCCTTACAGCGCTTAAATTAGCCAACTGAACATTGTCAGAGACCAATGCATTTAGCAGACTACGCACTGTGACAAACCTATTTGATCATGTTTCCAAGTAATCCATGATAAAATAGTTGAATCATGTTACTAAAGTCTTTTCATATTTTTAAAAAGTGTTAAAAGTTAAGATTCTGTAGTTACGTTACTTGTTACAGAGAGTAAACCTGAAGTTGGTATCGGTAAACTGTTACAAGAGTTCTCCAGATTAGACTGTTGTCAACTAGAAGCAGCAGCCAAGACAAGCAGACAAAAAAATGCTATAATGGTGCATCAGTACCATTCAAAGTGAAACCCTGTATCCAAACAGGTTTTTATAACTTGTATATAAATTATACCTGGGTAGGGGAAGCATGCATATAATTTCATAGAATTACATAAATATAGTTTCAAGTATACACCTTGCAGTGATGTTCAAGCACATTACATGATAAAAGCAAACTGGTATGTTGGGGAATGTAACTGAAAAAATACTTCCGCAGAATACAAGAGGTGTTTCCATGCTATACACACCCACACGTTCATGTATGTGTGTGTGTCTGTGCACGTGCACCACACACAAAATCAACCTTTCAGGTCTGTTTTCTACTTCTTGCTTAATTACAGTATCACTCTGAGCAGAATATTTCACATATTTAAGGAGACTGTTAATACCTGATTTAATATGTAACGAAGGTGAAAGTACAGCAAAATAAACCAAGTATTATTATGAACTTGGGAGCATTTAAATTTCCCTACTTAGGAAAGGTCTAAAAGCATCTTTCAACTTAAGATGTTTCAATGAAGAAAACCACACCTACTCATTAAAAATGGTATCCACTAAAAAATTGTTTTACAACCAAACCCTATTATCGTTTGTCACTAATTATCTCTTGTCACAGTCATTCTGGATTACATAAAAATGCTACTTTAACATTAGAAATCAATATAAACTTGCTTTCCAAACAGCTCATATTTAAGATATTATTACACAGTCAGTAGGGAAACAATGAGTATCTGACCTTTAAAGCCAGACTTGACAGTGTATTTGAAACGTTGCACTTAAAGCTTAATTGTTTATCTAGATTTCCATCTGGATCTCTTCTGCCATAATCACCGAGTCCTGTACGGTCCGATGTAGCCACTTTCTGAAATACGGTGCATGTCATCCCAGCGAAACCAGCAGCCTTTATTACGTAAGCCTCAAGAGCAATATTTGGAGAATACTGTGGTGACAAAAATCAAACATTAAATAGTTTTACACACCAAAAGCAGAATAATAAATAATCTTAAAGGGATTCTCTGCCATAACAGAAAAAAAACCACCCAGAAAACTATTTCTGTTTATCTGGCAGCAATAAATCTGTTCAGAGTATTTCTCTTCTCCCTACAGAAATAGTAGGCATTTCAGATAATGCCAACATCGATTAAGAAAAATAAAAAGCTATTGAAACTCAAGAGCCAGCAAAATGTCTTCTAAATAAATAAATTTGTACTTACAGTAGAATAAACTTGAGCTCCATTTGCAAGCCGATACATAGCAATTTTCTGTAGACACTGTACAATTCTAGTGCAAGCCTTGGCTTCCCTTTGTGCCATCCACAGAACACGTTCATCAGCTAACATAATGTTACTTGCTATGTCCACCATCACGTCACCAAGCTAACAAGGAAGAGAAATAAGACATTTTATATCTCTGAAAGCATTCATCAAGTAGGATCATCATCAGAAAATACAGAGTGACCTGTCAGCACAAAAAGCAAAAGGAAATTGGTTGTTCCTATTTCAGTCACCACTTGTCATGTTGAGATACTGAAATACTCTGACTCAGGCATTCACCTCCATATAAGGAAACTGTTATGCCAATGTAATTTATCAGTTTACATTATACTTATAAAACAAAAATGAGAAATACAGATGTCATTAAAAGCAAAGAGTGTAATACTCCATGTTCCATTGTACTAACTATTTAAAAGGACTATTTATAATCAACTTTAAACTGAAAATAAATAAAATAAGCTATAAACTAACAATAATAGAGTTTGCATAGATGGGGGAAGATTATAAGAAAACAGTAATACAGGTAAAAATTAGCATGCAACCCTTCTGCTTCTCTTCCTTTTGCTAAGTCTGCCTTTTCTCTGATTCTTTCCTTGCTTGCCTTCAATTTTGCATGAAGTGTTTAAGGTCGCAGGTTATATGAGACAGACAGCAAACAGCCATAGGTACCAGCGCTGCTTTCAAACCACCAATTACATTGTTGTAAGTTTATGGTCACACTCCTTACCCTGGCTTCTGTATGACAGACAAATACAAACCATAAAGGGAATTAATTTATTTAGGCCACAACTCTGCCAAAATTAATAAGCACCTACATTGACAACATTGACGTACACCAGATTTCCACAACGTTTAAGAAACAGTGACAAATATTGGACCAAAAGCGAAGGTGCATGTATTTTTTTAGTTGAATTAACTGAAATGCAATTCACAGTGCCTAAATTTAGGGACTGGAATTTTCTGTGTAGAGACACAGGTAAGAGATCTCCTTTACCGTCCAGGCTTCCCGATTTCTTTTCAGAGTATACTAATAAGGAGAGAACACAGTATTTTATTTTTCTTTTTCAAAAATCTTTTAAAATAAAGGCAAGAATGGGAATATAAAATTATTTACCATTTTAAGGACTCTTAGGGACAGAAGCTACAATCAGTAAACATTCTTAACAGTCTCAACAGCTAACACAGCCTCAAGCAGCATTTGCAGGCTGTAGCCCTTTTAATTAAACTCTCAAGAACAAATCAAAGTTAAAGATGCTTATGATGACTTATTACTACTTGAAAAGTGGTAACATGTTTTATACATCAATAAATGGTGGTTTTACAATAAATTATCAGCATTACGACCCTGAAGCCAAAGGACTGAAGTTGTTCCATGCTTTTAAAAATATTACACATTATTCTTTCCCCTGCTTATCAAGGTACGCACAAGCTTTTCCAACTGCATTCTAACTTAAGACAATCTGCTAAGAACTTTCTGAACATTTCTCTTTAGTTTGTTTCTTCTTCTGACATGAAAGAGCTAGTCAATGAAGCTTTTTACAATGTATAGTATTTTCCTTTCAGAATAGCCACTGTAATGCAAATTAAAGAACTGACAATAAGATGCTATAAGCAAATACAGCATCAAGAAAGTTTGTAGAGTAATAAGAAATAATTGAATCTTATTGATAGCTACCAGAAATTATTAAATTGCACTCATGTTCCTTGAATATATCAGCAAATCAAAGGTTGCATTCAAATCAAACTGAGATAAAAAATACATCATCTAAGACCAAAAATACCTATGAATTTAACTTAGATTTTTTTCATACCAGCTACTACCTTCAAAGATGGCAAAAGTAAGGCCAGATTGTGTCACTCTACAGACAATAAATCACAGCTAAGAAAAGAATACCCTTATATTGTAACAAATGATGCAGCAATCTAAAACATGTTTCTATTTTTGACAGGGTACAAAACCAGCCATTTAAGGAACTGCTTGTATAATTCCAAAATACACACCCAAAAAAATCCAAGCTATGATTGTAAAAAAGGAGATTTAGCCTGAAAATTCTCCAAGGAGTTCTGCAAAGAATTTACAACCAGCATTTATGGTTTGCTGAGGGTGGATGGGGAAATCTGGCCTTTTTTTTTTTGCACAAGTTTAAAATTGAGGCATTGTGGTCTTCAGCTTCCCAACAGGCACTGTACAGTGAGATCAACATAACCTCTGTTCAGCAGTGAAACAGAGAGTTCCTATCCACTGGTGGGACTGACTATTCAACCACTCGCATTTTTCTCCCCAACAATGAGCGTTCTCTAAGATTTTATTTTAATGTCTTATCTTATACCCTGCAAAATATAGGAATACCGAAAACCTTAGAGATACAGCTCAATACTGAATAAAGACAGCCTACCATGGTGGAAGGGGAGAAGGTAAGTCTTGTTTTATTCATTATTGAGAGGATCTCTGAGGCTTTCATTATTTGTCTTTTTAGGTAAGAACGTACCAATGAAAACCTGTGTGACCCACTCCATATTAAATAAAAACAGACTTACTGTACCTATCTCCCTGCTCCAGTGCTGACCAGAGGTGTTACATTACAGGTCCAGTGAATGCTGGATCATCGCAGCGCGAATGCAAAGTCTGTGACCATGGGTCAGCAACTTCAGGGACCTACTAAACAAACAAAAACATGGAATAGAAGCTGATAATCCACTAACTTAGTGCCTGCATGTAATGTTGAGAAGGTTTCATTGCTCAGAATACTTAAGGACAAACACCTTGATTATCTTTAAAGTGATGGTAAATTATCCAGTTACCTCTTTATATTTTTCAGCAAATCTTCCAAATTTCTCTATCATTTCAGCCACAAAAATAACATCCATCTTATCGGAAAAATTTGCTGCTTCAACAGTGTAAGCCAAGAGCTGTCTTGCTGTTGCCACTGCATTAGTAAGGTTGAGCGGCATCTACATAGAGAAGAAACATACCCAATTTGAAGAAGTGAAAATTAAGTACAAGATAGAAGGAACACTTCAGCAAATAACAAATAAGCATTTTCTCAAAGAAAGCACCAATCTCCATGGGGATCATGGTGTTTTAAGTAGCCAGGGACTACCACCTTATCCGTTCGCAAAAATATTTCCTACAAGCCAGAGAACCAGCATTTGTACCTGCAGCCAGAAACTGGGTTTTGTCCTGTTGTCCTAGAAGGGAGAGAGGTGTTGCAGCAAGAAAAGGAGAAAACAAACAAACCAACCAACCAGCCCAAAGACATTACTGTCAAATGTCTGTTTTCCTTTGCACCAAAGCCTAGGGATGGCAACACAAATCTCCTAAAATACGGCATTTTATACTGTGGGAAGCCAAAAGAAATTCAAATGCAGCACTGCTGTAGCATTCACTCTTGATTCTGTAATTACAGAAAGTATTTGGAATGACACACACACACAAAAACCAAGACAGATAGTCTCTATGACAAAGCTCACGATTTAATTCCTGAAACGAGTACCATGCTGGAAAATTCTTCACTAAATAGTGTGCAACATCAACATGCCTGAGCTAGCAAGGACCAAAACCAGGAAATTTCATATAGTACAGCAGAATGCTCTGCAAACGTTATCAGCTCATGTTCAGATGCTGCTTATCCATGACAATCCATACTAGAGATGTCCCATCTCTCCATTTTTTGGTGTACGGTTATCCAGTCTGTCCTACTGAATTTGCAATGTGCCACGTAAGCACAACTACATATTTGTCCCTGATGGTCTTAGCACTTATACACAGATTTAAATGCAATTAATGGAAGATAATTTTTTCCAAAACACTCAAAGTCATGCATTTAAAGTGTAAATAAAATTCAAAGTCATAACATACACTGAACAAAGTCAACTTTCAAATCCAGATATTCTCTATAATTTCTTCAAACTTCTTCTTTAAACATTAATTTCTTTTCACCTAAAACTATACCTGTATGATACACAAACAAGAACAGGAAAATATAAACATTCTTGTATAAATGTTACAAAGGTTTCACTCCATTTTAAACTTAGACCTCTATGTGATTTAAATTGCTTGGCAGAGTTCTGATGTTCAAAACTGCTCAACTACCTTTGTGTTGAAAGGCTTTAAAGATGCTTATATTACATTAAATATTAGTCACAAAAAGATAATAAGTTTCTGTGCAGAATACTGCTAAAAAGATTGAGACCTGCTACACATTAAATGAGGAAGGCTCTAATGAGTAAAAACAACTTCTAAAACCAAAACATGGCACTACTCCCTTTAAAAAAAAACAAAATTGAAACCCCTATTTCAGTGTAGCATACCTATGTCCATGCATTTTTAAGCAGATAATAGGAAGTTATCTACTTCACACATGGAAATTATACTTCTGCTTCTGCGTTTCTGAAGATACCAATCTTATCTTCACATCTTAAACTTCCTAATACGAGGATGGAAACATTCTTCCACAACCTAACAAGTGTTCGCTAACCAAAAGCGGTTATAACAGGCTGAAGTAATCTAGGCTCTTGAACAGCTGGAACTCTAAAGCTGGCCTACACTACGCAGGCAGGAGTAGCATTGAGCTGTTACAGGCCTTGCAGGAAAATGTGAACTCCCAGGCAAGGACAAAGCAAACTAGCAGCAAAGCTCTCAAAAAGCAAACACTCAAACTTATTGTGTCCCACAGAGGGATCCCCAGCACCATCTCCCACCTGCTAGCCAGTCATTAAGCAGCACCACCCTCATTTCAGCCCTCAAAGACGCTTCTCATGACGAAGCCATGGCACGCACCTCTAGTGCTAGGCATGTAAAGCAGAAGAGCACAAATAGTTATGTCAACCCCTAAGTTTAATTTGGGCCAGAATAGGCAGTCCTTTCCCTTTCTATCCCTCCCATCCTTTTCATCTTTCTTACACCAGTGATCATTGGTCCTCAGGGAACCAGAGCAAGAAGATAAAAAGCTACGCCTGCATTAGCAAGTAAATGAACACAGAGGGAGTAAGTCAGAAACAACCCATCTACACAATATATAGTTCAATGCTTTTCCCTCAAACCAGATTTAGCCCAAGCCACTGGATGTCAAGCTTTCACTATGTGTATAAATCGGAGACATCCAAAGGGCAAATATCAGTTTAGATCCTGATTGTCCCAGTTAGGGGCTGTGGTGCTTCTGATACACAGTGTTTTCTCTAAAAGAATGTGAGCTCACACACTGAAACCCTCTGAACACATGCAACATGCAGAAATCCTACCCTGAGGTCAGACAAGCACCATGGGCCATGTTGAACATGGGCAGCGCTACTGACATCATCAACTCAAGTGGCATAGCTGTATTATTAAAAAAACTCAAACACAACAACAACAAAAAATACATCTAAAAAATTCTCCTATCTCCATAGTTTCACCTGTTGCATTGGTGCTAAGGATCTGACAGTACACACTGGAAAATATCAAGCTTAAACCAGAGGTTCAAATCTTCATGGAATAGTTTACAATATAGCGCCTGCACATACAAGGTTGGGTACACCACTGCAGAACAGTGCTTGTGAAAGCGTACGTTAACTATAGATAAGCCTCAAAAGAAGTTTGGAGCTGAAAAACTTTGTTTCATAGCTACATTCAAAATCTAGAATACTCTCTTGTATCCTGGTGAGTACCACCAGATTAGAGAAGCCTAGTTAATACTCACTACTTTCACTAGCTAGCTCTCATCAGCCACACCAAGTTTATTAGAGCTTTACTGCAACAGAGACAGAGCAGTTTGCCTACTCTCTATTATTATAACAAAAGCAGCTATTTTCCATTACAAGTTCAGCCTACCTTGTTTCTTTATAGCATGAGGGCAGGACAGGGCATCCAGTTGACAAAACAATCATGACAAGTACAATTCTCTTATGCTTTGACAAGTACACCAAAGAATGAAATTTTCCTTGCACTTTCAATCTGGGGGCATTCAAAATAAATACTAAATCAAACTCTTAACAAACCTACAAGTTCTGGTGTTCTACTCAGAGGCATCTGTTCTTCGTAATTCATCTAGAGCACCAGTACTACCAGCTTAAAAAAACAAATGGAGAAACAGACTTTTGAGTTTTTATTTCCATTAAAGAATTTGATTTTATAGAAATGCACAAATTACCTGATTGAACATATAAAGAACTCGAGTCACATCATTTGCATATTGGCACCTGGAGTAGTCCTCCTCTGCCCAGTACCCTCCCCTGTCGCATCTGCGCCAGGCTCTTCTCTCATCTTGTGAGTTGCCAGGATATATCCCACTGCCAGCAGAATAACGTGTACACAGCAGGTATGCTGTGATGCCTGCCAATGTTCTAGGCCACCTGGGGAGTCAAAAGCAAAAAGAAAAAAGTTAGACAATTTACATGACAAGTAAATAAAAGAATTAAGCACTACAACATGAAATAAAGAGGCACTCAAAACTAAGCATTTAAAGGGCCACCTTGGCTCACGTTCAGTATTTTCAAGCTGTTCATATTTGTGTACTACTAACAAAACGAGTTCTAATGCTAGCATACTTTTTTTAATTCTTTCATGAGGTTGCAGGTGGAGACAAAGAGGTGCTTACAAAATTACTAAAAATAGTTCACAATTTTGTTATAAAAAAACCTTGCCTACTTCATGAAAAATTCCATATTAACACTATACAGACAGTCAAATACATAGTAGAAAGCCGTGCAAGCTTTCTATTTGTCCTGTTCACATGTATCAATGTAACTTTCAAGTGACTGCATTCAGATCAATACTAAACTGCAGATATGAAGAGAAGACTACATTTACAGTAATTAAGAAACCACTTTGACCGATTTTGCAACCAAACAGAATACCAAGTCAAAATTAAAGGGAAAAGAAAGTGTTCATAATGTTAGGAAAGTAAAAAAGAATTCCTTTCACTCAAGGTATGTGGAACTAAACACTTTTTAAGAAAACTAACATTCTCTCAACTTTCTTCTCAGTAATTTTACTGCATATTTTATCAGTATGAACATATACAGATAAAAATGAAATAAAGAATACAAATATGGAAAATTAAGTTGCTATACAATTTTAGTTCACTGATCATTCATGAGATCAAAACTGATTCAAAGGAAACATAAGAACAGAAGGAAGCCACGCCTGAATTAAGCTGCAACGCCGAGAAGACAGGGACAAGGAATGGCAGCCAGTCTGCCTGCCCCTGCATCAGGCCCCCTCCCCTGTTAAGATATGCGTAAGTAGTATTTTATCATTCAGAAGACTAATAGGTAAAGTTTAAAAGCAAAAAGCATACACACCTAAATTGCAGAATGCTAAGTATCTCAAATCCAACAACCCAACATACAAGGCTTAACTAAAACTGAGGGCAAAAGAGAGCTTCATTTGATCATCCCAGGCTTTCTGTACCAGAATCAAGTCAAGCTCCTTGCACAGCCTTAAGAGCTAACATACTTTTTCTCAGTCTTAAGTATTTCAAGGGCCTTGCACACAGCAGTTGTCTCCACAAATTGAAATGGTCAAACAATGGACTGCATTTCAGTAAATGGCCATTTATTCACTACTATCACCTAAATCAATCGATGCTCAGAACATATCTATATTAAAAAAAAAAATAAAAAATTCTGTGTTCCCAGGAGGATGGAGTAAACATCTGGAGAATATCCCATTTCAGGGACAAAAGTAATATTGCCAAAGAAGAGAAACTGAACAAGTCAGCTCCATCTTCCTTACTCATCAGTTAAGTAACTTCTCTTACTGAAGACACTGGGATTTATCACAGTTCTTTCTCAAAGAAGAGAATAACTCCAGGGGTGTACCAAGACAAAAGGCTATGCTTTTCAATTATATCAAACTACGTAAAAGATTAACCTTTTGCAGTATACTGAAAGGCTTCCCTATCTCAAATTCCTATTTATTCCTAATGAGCTCCAACAGAACAATTTTGGCATGTTCAGTAATGGAAGAAAGACTCTTACTTCAGGGCATTTTGGCAAGGATTACTTAGGTTTGGGCAGCAAGCAACTCAAAGATAGTTGCTGGTGGCATCCTTAAAATGCACAGGTCATGGCAACAACCATAAAAGTCAGTAAGGAACCTAATGGAAAAGACTAGACAATAATTACCACAAACCAAAATAGAAAACAAAGGCTTAAATTTTATACCTTTTATAACAGCTTTGGCATTACAAATCAGTTCTCCATACTGTAGTGACATCATTTAGTTAAGAAATGGAGACATTATTATGACCACCACCATAGTATCTGAATACTAGAAGAGACAGAAGATTATTTGGGTATCAGAGATCCACCCAGCCTAGCAAATATGCATACACTTATATTCAAAGCTTCAGCAGCCACTTCAAGAAATTAACAGAAGTGTCACTATTCAACCTTTATCTGAAAGGAAAACTTACACCAGAATTGGTAGCAATGGAGGTAGTTAAAAAAAGAAGAAAAAAATTTTAAAAGAATTAGCACAGTTTTTTAAATGCCAGGAATTATGTACAGGTAATTTAGAGAATGTAAATTAATTCCAAGAAGAGGTATAATTTCTGCAATGGTAATGTAAATTATTTACTATCTCTCTCCCATACAAAAGAAAAGCCAGAAGAAAGGTCAAAAATCTTCCTTAGAAAAATCACAACAGCCTTTGTGAATTGCTGCAAACCCAGCAGTGACCTTAGTGGAACATTACGTGCACCCTAGCAAGTTAACAAAACATCACTTTGCATCACGTCTGGCCAGCTTTGATCATGGACAGAGGAAGTTATGGATCTGCTCGGAAGGCAGGAAGGGATAAGGGGATACAATACATGTAAACTTAGATAAGTCTTTGAAATTTCTATATGGACAAATTAAAATAAAGTCTGATCAACACAGACGGGGGAAAAACAAGTACAAAGATGAGCCACTTCTATGCCTCCACTTCTTACAGGCACATAACGAGCCTTCAGAGAACAAAGCCAAAAAGAAAAGAGACATATGAGGACAACTAATAAATCAGCTAGCACAGCTGTTAGAAGACATGCAGGCCCACAAATACCTTGCTTAATATACCCAAACCTCAGCTTCCAGAATGCAGAGTCAGCTTTCCAGAAACACTGACACTGGAGTGCCAAAACATCATTTCCAAACCAATTTTATCAACACCAAAATTTTTGTATTAAGTTTCCACATGAAAGATGCCACTTCGAAAGGGGTACCTGTCTCTGTCTTTACAGACAGTCCTCTAAAAGTTGTATTTCTCCAAAGCATTTTAAGTTAAGTGTGGTCAGCTCTGTTTTGACTTAGTGTATCGCCTTACAGACTGAGTGTCATATGGCCTTAGGAGAAGTTCAACTCTGCGGTCCTGACAGATGTTGTATGTCAACCTTCAAGACATATTTTCACTGAAAAAAAGGCATGTGCCATTCCCTTCCTCACGATTCACACCTAGTGCTAAAGAATTAGAAAAAGAGAAACCAAAGTGAAACACTAGGACTCAAACGAAAAGCAAATTTTTCAGGAGAGTTATAACTACTCTATTTTAAAACAAGTATAAATTTCTAAGCTGTATGTATCTTCTGGAACTTCTGCAGCCATCAAATGGAAAAGTGAGAGCTTCAGTGTTTAACACCACTTCAAAGGTTACTAGATTATCACAAGAGTATTTGCCTTCTCTCCCTGTTCTCTCCACTTCCCTTATTTTTTTTCTGCATCTCTTTCCTTTTTGTTACTGTCCCTTTATTCCCACTGTGTTTACTTTCATTCTTCTCCCTACACAGCATTTTATCATCTTTTACCGTGCTCTTCTCAAAAGAATGCGAACAATGCCAGACAGTCTTATAATCTGTGCTACATTTATAAAAAAATAGATATATACAGAAACATTTTACTAATAAAACTAATATACTATTCATCTAATGATTTAGGAAGATTTTTACTAAACTGGACATAAAACATGGACAATTTAAGCCTCCCAGATTTCTGCCATAATTTCACATACACAAAAACAACACGAATGCGTGGTGTCACTAAGAGAAGTGCTTCGTGGGGAACAGTGTCCCTTAACCTCTTTCCTCTCCCATTCACAGTACTCCTTGTGCAGGGAGGAGTTTCTTTGCAGTCCAGAATGAGACAGTGGAACTGATTCCAGCTGTAACTACACTTCCCTTATTCCCTATTTTTGCTAAGTGAATGTTAACCTGGACCATTCTCAGCCATGAACTCTTTCCTCCCAATACCTGCAGGAGATGAGCTGATGAGGCACTCTCCACTTTCTGTGAAGCCAGAGATACCATCCCTCTAGCAGGCTCAAAAGGTAACTAATGACATCAAATTCTCATCATGCAAACAGAGGCTACATAAATTTGGTTGCATTCTTAATTTCTAGGGAGCCTAAGCTTGAACATCTTTCACAGTTTACCCAACTGATAGCAGAAGTGCAAATTTGGACTGTATTAACAGTCTTATTTCATCACTGTTTATAATTAGGTGCTCAAAATTTATCACATATACATGAGAGCAGACAGCTGTGGGGGAAAAGATGGTTCATTTACATTTAAGTACTGTAATTTAATTTCAGGAAAAAAAAGCCAGACCATGAGATTATAAAAGAATCCTTTCCTTCATGCATATTAATTCTGTTTTGAAAGCATTCATTTCTTGAAACCAACAATAACTTTCAGTTACAATGATTTTTTTATAACATAATTTCATTAGCTTACAGGTAATCTAGTATTTTTTTCTTATTACAGCTTAGTAATTATCTAAATCCAGCAAGACAATTAGTTTTAAGATTAATGACACCAGTGAGTAACAGTTTTCAAAAGGATAATTCTCATATTTAAGAAAAAATTCTATCAACTACCAGCATAAAATTATTCCAAACACAACAGTTGAAGGATTTACTGAAGCAGAAGCATTAGGTTACATTTTAACATGCAAACTGAATTTTCAATTTAATCATGGATTGCAACACATTCAGGGATATTATCTGAGTAAGACTTAAAAGAATTTCTAAATTAAAAAAAAATAGTTTCCATGATGAAGACATTTTTTGCCTAATCATTATGAACTCATGCTAAACTACTATTACTGAGCTAAAGGCACTGAAGACAAACATCCTCCTTTGCTACACTTTGTTATCCCATCTCTGAAGGCATAAAAATCTAGGTGCCAGTTTTGAAACAGCTTCCAAGCTAAAATGACTAACCAGTTCCAACTAAAAAACTATAAAATCAAATTCACCTAGGATCATTTACAGCCATCTGCTCAGAACCATTTTCTCACTAGTCAAAGCCTTATTTCCATATGGTCTCAAAGGTGAAAAATTACTCTTTATTATTACTCTACCTAAACTACAAATGGAAGTCTGCTATAGTAAACCTAGACATAGCAAACTTTTTGATAAGCTGAACATTTCTTGGAATCTTATTTCTTTCTACTGAATTCCAGAGGGGGTAAATCCTATTACGCTGAACAGCCACTGAACAGTACAGGTTAATTTAATGGAAAACACTTTGAAATAAGCCTTTACCATCTGTTTTCACCTCTAATGGCAAATCAAAGAAGAACCATTCACACTTGTGTCATTAAAAAATGCTAAGTGATTTAAATAGATGTGTTCTTTGATAAATACAGCATGCATCTGTTTGACTTTCTTCACCTTTCATCTTCATCAGGAAGTTCTCATTTTCTAATGTAATGCTCATCCCTGCAGTTGAAACCACGACAGTGTAAAAAGAAAATACGCACCAAGTTTCTCATATAAATAATTCCTTACAATGTGAAAACAAAGCTCTTCAGCAATTCCAAATTGCAGCAAGTGATCTTAACACTACTTCCCTTACTAATAGTTCCTCATACGCAGACACTAGCTACCCTTCTTCTCAAATTGTCCAACTGATGAACATAAAGAAGATGAACTCAGAATAAATGCTCTCAGCCAGGATTTCACCTGAATTTTTGCTACAATTGGAGAAGGCCTTCTGTACTTGAAAGCTTGTTTTTTCTTCCCCCCAAAACTATGTCCCAGAAACATGCTTTAACTTACTTTTCATTTCTTAAAAGATTTATGGTCTTAGATTAGCTGTATAGAAAGATGACAACTTTAGAGAACTCTAACGTATGCAGGCAAAGGTAGAAAAGTTTATAAATATAAACAGACAGAAGATCAACATAGTCAAGCAGTATAAGAAAAATGAAAATAAATGAGTGGTAAAAGCAGTTATTACAACATCAAGAAACCCTACAAACGGTAGTGAAAACATATGCTATGACATAAACTAATTCTCAGTAGGAGCTACTGCAGGGAGGTACAACACAGAGTAGTTATAAAGGGAATTACCTTACATACAGAGAATCTATACAGAAGCTATCTGTTACAGCTGGCACCTCCAGGAGTAACGTGTTGTTAAGAGTGACCAGCAGCAGAAAGATCAGAAAAGGGAAAACAGGTGAAGAGGTAAGAACAAAAGAAAATACTCTGCAATACCCAACACAACGGATTATCAGAGCTACCACCACAGTCCCAATAATCATTAAAAGGAAGCATCATTCTTATTATTTACTCTAATACACAGGAAAAAAAACACAACCATCTATATTACATGTTTCTTATATAGTGATTTTGTTATACAGGAGAAGGAGGGTTTTTAAAACAGAATGATAGCCTGGTGGAAACCCTCCCCACCCCTCCCCATCAGTATGCAGACCAACTCTAACTTATCATCGAAAAGTTTCTCTCTATTCTAATAATTTCAATTATATATTTCAAATATCATAGCTTACCTTCCATCTTTCAAAGGTGCAAGTTAACACTCACAAAGCTTAATGTTTTATGGTATAGCTGTGCGCACTTCTTTCAACACATACTAAGTTAGAATGGTTAAACATCTATTACACACCATTTACAAAGGAACATCCACATAGGTGCCTTTAAAGCATAATACCTTCGTTAAAAACAAAATTAAATGGACTTGACTTTTCTCTGAGAAAAAAAAAAAAAGGTGAGGTTACCAACCTGAAATCCCCTTTATTGTTCACAACCCTTTCTGGAGGGCAGTACTGCGCAGAACTTTCTAACACCACAATGTCTACTGTCCTTGTGTTATTCCCTCGTCTGGTTTGTACATGGCAACCCCAGTTTCCTGTGGAGCCAGCCTGAATGTTTGAGATTGTCAGTGCACTGGGAAGATAAACAAATAGAAAACACTCTTGCAATAAAATTTATATGAGCTTTTACCAAAAGATGAATAAAGTACAGAAAGACAATGGAAGAAACAATCACATACAACTGAGTGATCTTACGAAACCAGAGCTATCTATGAATCAATGTACTGTAATTAACAGAGAAATATTTCCTATTCCTCTAGCTCTCAATTGTGCCAGAGTAGGAAAGAAGAAGAACAGCCATGAGAAAGAGTTTCTTCTCTTCAGAAAGAAGAGATGAGAAGTTCAAATTCCCCAAGTGTTATCATTGCTCTTCACAAATTTTTTATAGTTGTTCCAGAAAGGCCAAACTAAAATAACTTCCCAATTGCATCATTTGTGATAAAGTTAGAAGCCCTAATTTACTAATACCATTACAGGATATATAACCACTCTGTAGATGCTGAATGAGTCAAAAAATCTGCTGCAGGCAGAATGAGTTATACTTATAGATCTCTGCTGAAGAACTTCAATATTACCAACTGTAGTGTGCTCAAAAGGAAGATAAAAGAATTCATGAGTAGTTCACTTAAATGCCTTGTTTTCATAATTTTAAACATAGAATCATAGAACAGTTTCAGTTGGAAGAGACCTTCAAGATCATTGACTCCAACCTTTGTCCTAGCTCTATCAGCACCACTAAACCATGTCCCCAAGTACATCTACCCGTCTCAAACACCTGCAGGGATGATGACCCCACCACCTCCCTGGGCAGCCTGTTTCAATGCCTGACCACTCTTTCAGTAAAAAAATTCTTCCTAATATCCAGCCTGAACATCCCCTGGTGCAGCTGAAGGCCATTTCCCCTTGTTCTACCACTTGTTACTTGGGAGAACAGACCAACCCCCGCCTCACTACAACCTCCTTTCAGGGTAGTTGTAGAAAGCGATAAGGTCTCCCCTCAGCCTCCTCTTCTCCAGGCTAAACAGCCCCGATCCCTCAGCTGTTCCTCATATGAGACATGATCCAAATCCTTTACTGGCTCGGTAATGTTCCAAGAGAACAAATGTATCCTGACACAGACATATTTTACATGAACTGCATTGGGTAACCCTTGGAGATAACTAAAATCCAACTGCAACAGTCCTGGGCAACCTACTCTAGCTAACTCTGTTTTAAGGGTTATGATATGGGTTTGATATGACTATTAAACCTCTAGACTTCCCTCCTCAAACTCTACAATCAGCAACAGTGATCAAACTCAGGTAATTTAACAGACGGTGAAGTTACAGATTACTTTCCTACCTGGAATGCTTCTGTCTACATACATTCACTCAGCGAGGATATGAGAGGGCCGTACTGGTTATGGAAATAGTCTCTAAATCAGAGCAGAATATAAGGACTGGGAAATACATTTTCTCTGTATGGATTCACCTTGCAATCAGTGAGCAGTTATGAATCATGTTTTTTTCAACAAAAATACCCTGGGACTCGTCAGTTTCCACTATCTTTCCATCCTGATACCACAAGACTTGCATGTCTTGATCAATATACGAAGCCATACATTGGAAAGGTAGACTATCTCCTTCAAATACAACCTGACGGTGAGATGGAGTCATATAGAAAGACGGTAATTCAAGCGGCGGTTCTAGAATTCAAGAAATAAAACCACAATTAATAGCAAGCATCTGTTTTATTTATTATTTTCAAAAGAGGAGAAAAATACACCAAGTATCAATTATTGATATAACCTCCTTGTAAGCTGCATCTTGCAAGATTTATACATTTGATGCATTGGATATTGAAAAATATGAATTCTCATTGTCAACTTTTTCTTTAATTGTATTGTGTATGTATATGTAAGGCATGTTCCTTTAATTAACACATTTCAAAAAAATCTTTTGCTAGTCCACATCCAAGACAGTGAAAAATACAAACTTGAATGAGAAAATATATTTATGCATTCTTTTTCTTCACAACTTCCACTATTAAGATTTCAAAATCACAAATACATATGTTTTATTATTTAGACAGGCAGAATAACTCTATTACAACAAAGTAGTAAGCAAGTTGGTCATGGTTTCATCACAACAAGGCTAACCAACAACAGAACCACAACATAGGAAAGTAAGTCATAAAACAAAGACCTTTTAACTTCAGAAATTTGGGCCTGGAATAATTCACACAACCGAAGTCAGAGAGCTACAGTTTGGAAAAAAACTATCAGTTTGATTCCTTTTGTGAAGTTTAGGTAAAAATCCCTTGAAAAGCATGGATTAGCAGAAAAGAGTTTATCTCCAGAGCGTACTACTTATCCTTAGTTTCTACAGACTGACATCCACAATCATCAATTTATTTATTAGTTCTTTCCAAAACCAAACAACAGTGAATCGCGACTAAAGATCAGTCTTTGAAAAAGAATCACTATTACCACTTGTATTTGGCTTGTGTGGTAAGATTTTGGTAGTGGGGGGTTGGGCTACAGGGGTGGCTTCTCTGAGAAGCTGCTAGAAGCTTCCCCTACGTCTGGGGAAGCCAGCTGGCTCCAAGACAGATCCACCACTGGCCAAGGCTGAGCCCATCAGCGACAGTGGTAGCACCTCTGTGATAATATATTTAAGAAGAGGAAAAAGTGACTGCGCAGCAGCAATTGCAGCTGGAGAGAGGAGAGACGCTACATGAGAGAGACAACGGTGCAGACACCAAGGTCAGTGAAGGACGGAGAGGAAGTGCTCCAGGCATCAGAGCAGCAGTTCCCCTGCAGCCTGTGGTGAAGACCATGGTGAGGCAGGCTGTCCCCCTGCAGTCCATGGAGGTTAACGGTGGAGCAGATATCCACCTGCAGCCCATGGAGAACCCCAGAGCAAGTGGATGCATGCAAAGCAGGCTGTGACCCTGTGGGAAACCCATGCTGGAGCAGGGTCCTGGCAGGACCTGTGAACCCATGGGGAGAGAAGCCCACACTGGAGCAGGTTTGTCGGCAGGACCTGTGACCCTGTGGGGGACCCACAGTGGAGCAGCCATGACATGCAGTCCCTCAGGAACAGGAAGGCCCCAGGCTGGAGCAGTTCGTGAAGGACTGTCTCCCATGGGAGGGACCCCATGCTAGAGCACGGGAAAGAGGGTGAGGAGTCCTCCCCCTGAGGAGGAAGGAGCAGCAGAAACAATGTGTGATGAACTGACCGCAACCCCCATTCCCTGTCCCCCTGTGCCACTGGAGGGGAGGAGTTAGAGAAAATCAGGAGTAAGGTTAAGATTAGGAAAAAGGGAGGGGTTGGGGGAAGTTGTTTTTAACATTTGGTTTTATCTCTAATTATCCTACCCTGATTTGACTCAGAACAACTTAAAACTAATTTCCCCAATTTGAGACTGTTTTGCCTGTGATGGTAATAGGTGAGAGACCTCTCCTGTCCTTTATCATGACCCACAAGGTTTTCATTATATTTCCCCCCCCTCCCCCCCCCCGTCCAGCTAAGGATGGGGAGTGATAGAGCAGCTTTGGTAGGCACCTGGCATCCAACCAAGGCCAACCCACCACACCACTATCATAAGTGCATTTCAAAGAAACTAAACAAAACAAGAAGTCTGTTCACTAATATTAACAGAATATGCAAAGCGTTAGAAAATAAGTATCAGCTGTCAGGAGTGCTTACCACAAGTTAGAAGTTCCTGCTTAACACCAGTCACTGTCTGTGACTGAAGTGACTTGGGATAGGCACACTTAGTTTCACGTACAGTTATATTTCTTTCTTTTAACCACTGATGCATCCATAGTATGTTGCAATCACAAAGAAGATAATCAGTCTGAAATTCTCTGCAACACAAAATAAGTATTCAACAGTTTCAAAATGCAACACTCAAAGGTCAGAAAGTTTGACATCAACAGCAGTGCAATGCCCCTCATTGTCATAGACACACAGGTAACAAACAGTCAAACTCCAGAATACAGTGGAGTTGCCTACCACTACGTATTGGAAGATACTCTAAATCCTCTGCAAGCTGTGGTCTGAGAACAAAAAGTACACACTCCCCGAGAAAAGGAATCCTCTCTATAAATATGAGGAACATCAGATACCTGCACACAAAAAAATTTCTAGTAATTTCTTCCACGGAGGGAGTTCATGTTACTTAAGTGAGCAGTAACAAGGAATTGTTTGAATATGCATCATCATAACTTAAGACCACACTTCATTGCTTAATTTTAGCAATCCAATGGTTTAACAAAAACAACAACAACAAAAAAATCAACAGAAATACAAGAATAGCCTCTCACCTATTTCTCTTTTCAGAACTACTAGTCACACAATTTTAATAGTTTTATTCTGCTTTACATGAAAATCACGTAAGGCTTTTCGTTGCTTCATAAAGTCTCTGTATAATTTAATACTTCCTCCTAAATAGGCATACCAAATTCCCCCCATAGGTGTCTGTTGTGGTCAGCCAAATTAAAAGAGAACATAAATATTTTACCTGTTTAGAAACAGTTAAAAATGTATCAAAACATATTGCTGTATCTATGCTTTTTTTATTACCTCTAGTGAAAACATAATCTTCCTTTCTTTTTGCAAATGCCTAGAGGATAACACAAAATCACAGGCAGAACACTTCAAACACTAAATCAACATTCCTGTGAAACTCCATTTGGTCTTTGTTCACAGGAATTCCTCCAGACACACACATTTTTAATACCAATGGTTATATCCAGGTTGTCTTGTCAGACTTGTGATGTTCTTGGACAGTAACCTTTAAGTACACAATTAAAATATACAATAACAATTTATGAACAATTAAGAGAAGCTGGAGGAGGGAAACAAACATTTGCCTTTATGAACAAGAAATTAACTTAGTGTCAAAGCCAGAAGACAGAGCTTATGAGAAAGTCCCTGTACAGTGAGCCAGCTGTCATGACTACCAGGACAAAATGCAAGCTGATCATCAGCACTGATATTTTTTTCATTTACTTTCTTCCTTACATAAGATTACAACTCTCATGAAATTAAAGGAGAGAAAAATAATACGAGATTGAGGTGTACCCACATAACAAAACTATACTGTTTTTCAAGGACTACGATCTTCCTTATAAGCATGTTCCTTTGTTTAAAAAGGTGTAAACCACTCTTTATTTAATACGAAGTAATAAATTATGCATACAGAACAAAACCTTCAGAAGCCCAGATACTGGTATAGCTTTGTTCTCTCAGAACTATGTAACAAATACCAAGCATCTTTTGATGGAAGATGTATAAGCACCCAAATATCTGTACATACATTTTTTATGGGCTTATTCAGATAAAGAAACTACTGTTACGAGGTTTAAAAATAAAAATGCGAAACTGTAGTACAAGCAAGTGTATCTAAAATGGCATTTGTCAATGTCGTGGTTTAGCCACAAACGATCGTGCAAATTAAGATTAGATGAACAAGTACTTACAGAGACTTTAGTGAGCTAAGATGATCAAATGTTCCCTGTGTAAGTGTAGAAAACAGATTTCCAGAAAGATTCCTAAGAAATAAAAGTACTGTGATTTGAACTCACGTTCAAACAATTAAAAAAAAAAATCCCTCTTCAAGATAACATTATTTTAAAACCTACACTCTGTCACAGTTCACAGGACTGTAAGAATAATAATCAGGCCTGATAGCCTAGCAAAAATCCCCAAATAAACTGTCCCCCGTAACTTCTTTTTTAGCTGAAGAATTCTAAGTTTTGGAACAAGGTTTGAAAGCAAATACGCAAATACTTTATTTTTATTTAAAGCAACAATGAGCATATGTTGAGCATACGTTTCAAGAAGTTTAAAATTAACTTCATTGTTCACAGTGAATTGATGTGTTGCTATTAACATGCTATAAGAAGCGTATTTGATCTACCAGGATATTTTTTAAACAATATTGTACACCCCACGTGCTCTATATCCGTGAAAGCAGTGTGTAAGAAGCTAACAACCAGGGCAAAGAAACATTCTGTAATCTTACATGTTATTTTTTTTAAAGTAAACGAAGAACTACAAAACATGCAAGCAAGCCAGCAAAACACAACCACACGGACGCCACAGTAGAAGGCACAGATATTAAAATAACCCTGAAATATTTTTAGAAGGAAAATATTTTGCACAGTCTGCTACTCCCACCCCTCACACTATACCTTCTAAGCAACCGGAAAATGACCACAAAGCAGACAGAGCACTGAGCAGTATGGTTTCGGTTGCCCCTGCTGCCCTGGGTTTTTTTAAGCTTGCTATTGAGTAACAACCCACAAGCATAGCCACACGGCATGCTTTAAACACACACTTAAAACAAACTACTCCCATTAAAACAAAGAATGTTAACTTACACAAGACTAAAACTTACAAAGTGAAATTATATACAACACGTTATACTTACAATCTAATAAGATTTACAAGTCCTCTAAATATATCTGCATTCAGGCAGCCTATTCTGTTATTAGTTAAGTCTCTATAAACGGGAAAAAGCAAAAATCAGAATAAACTGTTTTATTTCCATGTGGCACACAATCTGCAAACAGAAGTATTTCAACTAAAATTCATGACTAACAGCACCATACATACATTTAGTCTTTTTCAGCCAAACCCAAAAGGTACTGCTATATGGATGTACACACATGCACACAGAATCCTTATTCCATTTCTGAATAACAGTTTGCCCATATACTGTTAAATGAGCTTAGCCTTACCAGTAAATCCCCTTGGAACAAGCTTGGCTTACATTACTATATAGTAAATTTTCATATTTGTACAGTATATTTATCATGTGTGCTACATCATTTAATTTTTTGACATGCCAGAGAGACCTATTCTAGTGTACTTATTGTACGTAAATGGGACCACTTCTATATTTAAATACTGTATATTTTACAGTGTAGGTCTTCAATTGAACTGCCAAAAATTTTTAAAGGAATAAAATTAAGCTTGCAAGTAGTTAGGGTCTAGAATTGGTCCTTCAGCTTTATTTTTAAGGTTTTTCAAAAGTGCAGTTACCAACAAAACTTCCTTTTAAGTGAGCCAGATCATCTGATCAGTGACAGATGAACATATATAGTACAAAAACTTAAGAAGAAAAAACTGTATGCTGATGAGGTGGGAGGGAGGCGAGGGGCAAGGGGATCACACTGAGGTCTTATTTTTCAAGCTTCATCTGGGACAGAATTTTTATAGCCAAAGTATAAATCCCCAAAAAATGTGTTAATGGGAACGTTGGCACAACCTTCAATAAAGCAGCATTAACAGTGCTGTAACTTCAGTGTAGTATTAATAGCAAGGGACTCTGTGTTCCACTATGACCTTTGGGAAAAAAAAAAATCATGAGGAGTTTAACATTTAACAAAGCGAGACTTGATGGCATCAAAGCTCTGCATGAACATTTACCCAGCGACGTTTCAAGTCACCAAAACACAAAAAGGGAGAATAATACAAGAGACTGTCAGTAACAACAAGTGAGACTGCCAAGCCACAAGCAGTGGATGTTCTTCGGCCATAAGACTGAAAGCAGAATTTGTTTTATACATACATATATGTGTGTGTGTGTATAAATTTAGACAACATATACATATTCAACTTTTAATATAGAACAGCTTTGCTGTCTAAATTTCCAGAACCTAAGACTATACTCTCAGAGGTGTTTTATTTAAACTGACTAGCTAGATGTACTACTTACAGTCTTTTCAGAGATGAAAGCCCCAGAAAAGCTCCTGGATCTATAGTACTAATAAGGTTGTTCTTAAGGTCCCTGTGGAGAAAAATTAAGACATTACACATACCACAAACTACCCTTTAAAACAGATATACATGTATGAAGAAACACTTAACTTGTCTCAACTTGTTTGAAAACCACCCCAAAAAACCTTACAACACATTTCTACTTTCTCTAACATAGTATCTTTCATAATTTGACAATCCCTATTTTAACTAGGAAAAGGAATACAAACAGTATGTGTATTCCTTTAAATATTCTATCAGTTCTTATCCCATGAAAGGGTACAGAGTCAAAGACACTTTGCCACTGTGTCTGAATAGATCACAGTTGCTCAGGGTGTAACATTTGCTCATGACATAGTACAATATTGTTTAGCACAGTGTTGTCTTCTTCAGCCTAACTAATTTTTAATACTTCAGTAGTGCCCAACATCTACCAAAGGAAGCAAAACAAGGTCCTAAAAATGCACCAAAGATACAACACTGGAAGTTTCCACCAATGTAATGCCACAAAAGCAAAGCCCTGGCTGAGAATCCCAAACAAAGCTGGTGAAAAAACTCTGAGCACAGATTTTTAAATCTTAAGTTTCCAGAATAGGAAACTGTGAGAAATGTAAAGTAACTATGTCAGTAAACGGCTTTATTAATTGTACAAGTGATACAGGAATTTTAACTCCTAACTCAAGACATCTGCAGATACAGCTTAATTTAGAAGGTCACAGAAAGCCTCTGACAGCATCTATACAGTTTTGAACAAGCTTTATCACTGCATGAATGCTAAAATTATTTCTATATCCTTATCCATCCACATTTTTACTATATTACTACCTGAAACTTCTCAGGCACTTATTACTACAAGAAAAATTTCTCATTCCTTGGAAATATGTGAACAGTCTGCATTTGAAAAGAATATTAGTGATTTCAATTAAAATCAATGTTTTAGTTAGCAAGGATAGAAAAAACATCTCCTAAATCTACCACAACATTAATAATACTGCCCAAAAGAGAATAGTACAAGAGGATTACATCTACCATCACACAGATATGCATGAGTGAAAATATAAAGTCATCCCAAGATTTCACAATAGCATTTCCTACAGCCAGATTAACAAATCATGGTACAACAGACCGTGTCACAGCACACGTATCATGCTTCAATGCTGTATCTAATAAACATTTTAAATACTTTAAATACTTTAACTTTACCTTGCAGTAGAGTAAATTAATTTTCAGTAAAACTATGACATATACACACTTCTTTCAACTTTATTTTGTTGCCCTGTATGGTGGCAGGGACTGCCAACTGCTTCCAAAGAAGCATCAGAAGCCTGAAGAATTGTAATGTTTTTAAGCCTCTTTCAGCAGGCTTAAAAACCCAGTACCAAGACCATGACAAACCTGAGAATACTAAATGTTATTCATCACTTATTTACCATCAGTCTTTGGGACAGGGAAGAAAAATTGTACTTACTGTTCATATTATAAATTTCAGTTTAAAGTCACGTAACTCCGATTTAAAACTTAAAATCTCACTGTGGAAAACACTCAGGGTGAAAAACCTCGACAACATGCCTTGGAAATCCACTAGTCTAGATTATCAGTGATCTTTAATTTCATTACTTAAATTCAAAGCATACTGTTGATACACCTCTTTCTTAAACCCATTGCTTCAGCGGGAAAAAAAAATAAATATAGTTTTCAGATTAAAAGCAAGAGTTTTACTGCTTCTACAACCTGTTTGTATATTTTGTCAGATTAGCTGACAAAAATGACTAGTCTATTTTTTTTCCCCCCTCTCCTTGGTAGGTCTTAATACCAGTTCCAGAAGAATAATTGCACTAGAATTAATAAATTCTTTTTAAAAAGAAATGCCAACATTTTTCATATTTTCATAAAACTCATTCGATGTATATTCTGTATTTTGTGAATAAGACAGCAAAGCATTAAGGAACCACCATACTAAAGTAATTTTTAAAAAACACCCTGAATGCCTGAAGTGTCAGCATTTTCACAGCCTGTGACTACAACAGTTGGGGAGTCTCTGCGGTTTGGGCCAGCCATTAGAAAGCACTGGCTATGTATGCATTTATCAAAAAGTATTAGCAGATGAAAACTGGGAAATAAGAGGCATTTAAAGATAATCAAAATTAACACAGTGCTGACATGTCTGGCAGCTCTTCAGAAACAATGAAGGATGTTGATACACAGGCAGATGCAACTGCCAGGACTCCAGGATCTAGGAGAGTTTCTCAATGAAGAAACGACACTTGTGGTTAAACCACAGACTGATAGGATTCTCACGTAGAAGGGAGGTGGGGGAGACAATCTCAACAGAAAGGTGTGTTTGGCTTCGAAGTTTGTGTTGTTTTTAACACTTATTAATACATTTATACAAACTACTGATTTTTAGCAACAGGAATTTACTCATCTAAGCTGCTGATTTTAATAATTTTTCTTTGGCAAAGCTCAATCAACAGGATATAGTTCTAGATATGTATTTGTCCAAATAAAAGAAAATCTGTTCCAAAGAAATCATTTAGATGAGGGCTTCAGTTAGGGCAATATTAAAACTTCCCCACGCTCTAGTTTATCCATACATCTTTCACCTTAGCGTAACTACATCTTTCACCTAGCAATTAAGAATACTACTACAAAAAAACCCCGCAAGCCAGGCAGTAGTCCAGTCTTACACTAAGAACCTATTAAAAAAACCCCTAATTTTCTAATTCATCTAAATAGCAGTGCAAATGAGGATGCCTCTGTATTTATTAGGGAAGGTGACTAACTGAGATTAGGATCGTAGAAAAACTCAGGTTTTAAGGGATGAGCTGAGGTCATGCAGTCCAACTTCTGTCTCAAAGCACAACTAAACCAGATTAAGTGCCCCACTGTTAAGTCCAGTAAAGTCCTGAAAACTGCAAAGGATGACGATTTTACCATTTCATCACTCAACTCTCTAAGTGCTTAACCATTCTCATTATGAAGAATTTTCTGACGTCCAACTAGAACAGCCCTTTTTCATATCTGTGATCAAGTGGGCAAATAGCAATTTACCAACAAAAATATTTTTAGAAGCCTTACAATCACACCTAACGTTACCTTGTTAAGATAAGAAAAATATCTTAATGAAAGAATACTTAAATATAACTACAGTTTGCCATGTAAAAAAATCCTTTCATTTCATTAGAATTTATAACAAAATGTTTCATTGTCCAGCTGTCTATGCCTTAAAAGTGCACATACACATACTTAAAAATTACTTAGGTATGAACATATATTACCTATAATCTACTGCTTTCTGTCTCAGCACAATTAAGATTGTCGTAATTATTACTAAAGCATCCTGCAGGCACAAACAAATGATGCGCACATATATACATACTGACACGAACACATTATTTAGTGCTCTCAACCGCCATTGGATAAACTATCATTAATTCCCAAACAGAACTTGAAAACGAACGTCAGACAAGAAAGACAGTAGCTACCATGGACTCTTACTGTATGAAATAGCTTTTCAAAAACGAAATGGGGGAAGAGGTCAAAGAAGTTACAAAAATAGGTTAAACATTATAAAGTCATCCTATCCCTCCCACATCTCTATGAGGTATAGAGTTTATGCAGGGAAGATCCAATAAATGCTTATGACTGATGAAAATTTTTTTATGTTTCCTCATCATTCACTGTGTATGATTCAAATTCTACCCTATACACACAGGTGTTCTCCCTAAAATACGGCAGGTTATGTTTATTTTGAGTTTTCACCATCAGTGTGCCAAATATTTAGGGTACCACCAAAACTGTCGATAACAAAGCCCAATACTTTATTGCATGTGGGTCTCCGATGTAGAATTCCGCTTTCAAGTCAACATAGTCAAATTGTATGTGAGGACCAAATGCTGCTGGAGCTGTTTCACCAGGTTCAAGTAATTCTGTCTCAGAGAGGAAAACTGGCTCAAATCTATCACTAATTTTGAGGACATTAAACTAATACAAGTTTAGAAATCAACTGGAGATTCCAGGTTTGTAAGGAACCATGAAAGAAGAGACTATTAATAGATACTTCTGAGACTTGGATATTTTCCAAATGGAAATTAAAAAGCTGTTACTAAAAATCACCTCTAGACTTTCTGAAAAGTTTTTATACATGCTTTTGACATCCCCTTGCATCTAAAGAAATCAACAGCAACTTAGATCACTTTGCTGTTTGGCTTACCCCACCACATCACCTGTGACATGCACTGAAGAACTACAATAGATAAAATTTCCTGAAGATGTAATACAAAAAAAAGTTAAAAAAAAAGCGCTTGAGAATACCACACTTCTGCAAATTAAACAAAAGCTAGAACCTAGACCAGAAAACCTTTTTGTTTCCTTCAAATAATTTCTATACTTCCAACAGTTCAGAACACTCCAAAGCACTCAATTTCACAGCACAGATTTTTCAGCAGAGACTAGAAGCACATTTCCACTCCCTCACCACTCACCTTTCAGAAATTACCTGAGAAGCAGGTGAGCATGGGGAAAAAAAAAAATATTTTGTAGCTTAACACTCTCATTCTTCTCCTGAAAGAGCTACAGCTAATAAAGAGATGGAGCTTCCAGAACCAAATGCAGAACTAAGGTTAGAGCAGAAGTTCCTAACTATTCATAAAACCATTCCTCTGCTCAATAATATTCAAACAATACTGACATTTCCCAACCACTTTTAAAGACTTCCAAAAAAAAGTTCAGGTCCACCACTAGGACAACTGAAGTCCACCTTTTCACATGGTCTGCTGCACTGTCACAACAAGAATTAAAATCAGAAATTGTTACTGTTTGAAAAAGTATGAAGACGTTCTTGTTTTTATTTAAGGCATCCATATATCTACAGATTGGTGCTGTAAAAACAGGAGAGAAAAAAATGAGACTAGCTACAAATAACACTCCCTTCACAGTGCGTATTTTCCCTTTTCAAAGGTATATCCTAAAAATACATTGGTAAACCCTTGTCATTATTCACAGTTCGATAAATATCAAATCCTTCTTTTGCTATCTAAATATCTTATTGAATTCCATGCCTGTCTCTTCTTCCTATCTCCCTTATGTACAATGAAAAATAGTTATTTTACAAATACATAATCTTCCTTATCCTTGCAATAGCCAACAGACAGCACTAGCTACCTTCCAGATAGAAGACAGCAGTTTGCTTCTAAATTACTGGACTTTGAATAATGCTAAAGTCAAATCTCTACTAGATAAAAATTATCTGCCACAAATTAGTTGTGCAAGAAGTTACTTCAACATTTCAACTGCAGGAAATTCATAGCAAAACATAGCATTAAGAAAGTCACTGGAGATTAAAATATTTAACATCTTTTTGTACAGACACTTTAATTGCCTCTTATGGCAGTAAAAATCTTTGACCTGTTTACTGTTATTCAGCTATTATTTGCATGACTTTTTTCCTGTAAGAGTAGATGTAGACATAGCATAGTCATTTTCTACTATAATTAACAAACATTTCACCCTCCAGTAAAAAAAAACTCTCTTATTTTGGTAATCTTATCATCCTGTTTACAAAATAATGCATTACCAAATTCTGCATTTTCATAAATTAACATACATGCACAAAGTTATTAACAAAGAGATTTGAAATTCCTACTTGGGGCCAGCATTTTTAAAGTGCTTCCCCATAGTTTTGGGGCATATAAGCAAACAAAACAATCTCTCCCTTTCAATAGTAACTATGGAGAATTGTCAGATGGGGATGAGGTCAAGAGATAACATGTTTAAGAAAAAAAGATAACCTAAAAGGCAACGATTTGCAAGCTGCAGATACCATACGTCCAAGTTTATCTGAAAAACTGAAAAAATAACAGAAACCACTTCATGTAAATTTTCATTTAAGATGTATAAGAACTAAACAGGAGAACACAAGTTTAGTGTGTTAGGAGATGAATTATGCAGTTCTGAAGCTTTATTTCAGGAATCAAAATGCTGATTAAAATGCAATTAAAAACAATTATTACGCAGGTACATGTTCCTGCCATATTAGTTTATTTTTTTAAAAGGCTTTGGCTAAATATATCTATACATCTAAACTCTACCCAAAAACCACTAAGGATAAAGGGCAAAAATATTTGCTATGAAGTATAACATTACAAGGAACGAACATACAAGCATCAAAGGCATACAAAATTTTTCCCCTGGTAAGCAGCAATGTTACGTGACAATGCTACTGTCTGAATTAACTATTTAAATCTCGATTGAATTTATTTCTTTTACCTCCATTTCATCTGTTAAATAAAATTTGGGAAAAGAGCATATCTACAAAGAAAGAAAACAGTCATAAGGAAACAAGGGGGAGTAAGAAAAAAAAATAAGGAAAAAACTGTAATTCTAAAGGCATGCAAGTTACCACAGTGAACATTAAGGAATACAATTTTAAACTGCTTAACATAATGTTAATGTTTAAAATAGTCACCAGGTCTTTCTTTTTTTTTTCCATTGACTATTAATTTAAGTTTGAAAAATTATTTTAATTACAAAAGTAGCATCTGTCCAAGGTCACAAGAACATTTAAAACAGAAAAGCTTACTTGTACTATGGTTAAATAGATATTTAATTTTAAAAGTCCTGCACATGGGGAGTGGGGGAAATGTCATTAATGACTAGTGTATCATGCTAGACCACCATACCATCTAAAAATACTGCTACCCCAGATCATTTTAAATGGTCAAAATGTGATGTCTTCCTTACTGCTTTCGTTCCTTTTCATGAAAGATGATATTAAAATAACCTAAAAAATCCTTACAAATGACAGGAGTTAAATGGAAGAAAGCTGGGTTCTTACGATTTGGATTCATAGGGCAAATGTAAATGATCACCTCAAACTAATTAGAGTTTCAAGTATTTCCTGTCTGAAAATTGTAATGAGTTACAACAAATAACAACTGTCAGCAGATGCGTTTATTACCTAAGCAAGGATGCCAAAATAATGAGTAAAGATCTAGAATGCCATCACTGCTGATAACCTTGCTTCTCTGGCACAATGGCTTATTTCTACAACAAAGCTCATCTGCCAGTGCAGAAGAAAAATCGTTCTTCTGACATGTGGGGGATGGAATGGTGGAAGCGCTTGAATTTATTTAGGCCAGGTGACCAGGTTTACAGCCTTCAAGTTTTAGAGGAAGAATGAAATACTTTTAATCCCCTAAAGCTAAAAGCCATTTGGAACTCTTCCTAGAGTTGCAGGATGATTATGAAACTGGCTACTTTCCCAGTCAAATGGCCTAGAAAAATCCTTATCTCTGAAGTTTCTGCTTGCTCCCAGGTAGATCAACCTGCCAATCCTGACCTTCCACCAGCCGGAAAAAAGCTGACTGTAACAGAAGCCACAATGCTGCTTCTTATCCCATAGGTGATATATTATCTGAAAGGGAAAGTGAAAACAGGAAGCAAAAGGTCTCCAAGAAGTTACACCCATCAGACTCACTCCCATTCCCCGCCCCCCTACATCCAGTATATACTGAAGTTGTAAAGTAAACAGCAAAACTGTTAAAATAAATGTCAGCAACAAACTTAGAATGAATCTAGCCTCTTTTAGAGGCTCTAATATATCCACTTCCCTTACATATACACTTTACAATTGTTTGATGAAGAGTTTGACACTTAATTAGAAATCAAAGAAATAATTGTCTTTTATAACATAATTTTTTGTATGAGACCAACAACCACAAAGCAAATCCAGTCATCACAGGATTCCAGTGAACTTCCCACTGAAACTGCCCTAATCTCACCCACAGGTGAGGTTATTCCTTTATGCTGTTACACTCATTCATGAAGAGAACGCTTAACTATATTAACTCCTCAATCACAAAGAAGTACATCAAAATAAAGTAAGAACACATCTGAAATAAGACATTTTGTTCTCAGAATTATTAATGAAACATAAACAGTATATCACTTTGTTTTTAAAGGGAAAACAGATTTTTAAAAAGTGCTTACAATCTTTCAAGAAGGTGTAATCCAGTGAAGGAACCATTCTTCAACTCTGTTATTTTATTATTACTCAGAATCCTGTAAACACAAACAGACAGGATAATGTAAGTTTGGTAGCAAAATTATTTGCTGCAGCCTACACTTCTGGTGTAAATCTTTTTGTTTAACAGCCTTTATATCAAACTACAATGCCTAGCTCATTGTCTGAGGTGTATATAACAGCACTGCTTAAATATTTTGAAGGAGAAAGAGAGGATTTTCTGTTATGTGCTCTAAGTACCACGCAAGCTTACATAATTAACATATGAAAGAAAGTACACCCATATAGGATTATCGTAATAAAATACCAGATTTGACATAATAGAAAATGAAGTATTAAACAACCAATCTACACATTCAATATTCTATTCTTCCATCCCCATTTTGGCTTTCAAAACCACACAACATATCGCCTGTTTCCCACTTCCTCTGCTGCCACCCTCAGCCACTTGCACCCGCTCACTTCTCCCATGTTGTGGCACCTTTCACAGCCATCCTTCACACATTCAACCTTCTCCTCAATGCAATCTTTTTAAGACATCTGCAAATAAGCTCAGTGAGCACTCCTTTACTTCTGTCTGTCCTTTCTTCTCCTAAAGGACCACACAACTGCAAATTCCCTCTTCCATATGAATAACTGGATCAGGCCCATCTAGCCAAGTAGCCTGTTCTCCAACCACAGACATCTGCAGATGCAAATTATCCTGAAGTTAGGAAATCCCTTGTATAGCTGGATGCTTCCATACTTAGAAGGACCTGCTTTCTATACAGCTACATATTTTTGTCACAAAAAAGCCTGTTTTGCTTTTGAACCATGCAGAGTTTTGGCATCCACAACACTATGAAAGGCTTCGCAGTACAAAGGTCCATTCCACAAAGATCCCCTCATCTCATTCATTTTGAACACAGGTCCTGCTAGCTTCATGTGATGCTCCCGACTTCTTATACTGAAACAAGCAGTAACCGATCCCTACCTACCCTCTCTTTGCCACGTGCAATTACGTAGAAACCTAAATGGTCTCCTTCATATTTTACTCACTCTTCTCACAAAAATTATCTTGTGCCACCATAATTTCTCAGTTCTTTCCAGCTTTATTCAGAGACACAACCACCAGAACTGAAATAGTATTCGACACACAGCCAAGTCCTAAATCTACATACTGGGATAATTATCTTCTGTTTTGTTTCCTACCATTTTCCTAGCAATTCCCAACATCTCTTCTGCCTTTACCACTTGTACTAAGAACTGAAAATTTCTGGTCAGGTCAATGCTCATCATCTTATATATGAAGAAAGAATTGTCATTGTCCCCAGTACGATTTTCACTTTTCTACAGTGTGCTGCTTCTGCCATCTTATTGTCCAATTATTAGTTTCATAAACTTCTTCCAAATTCTTCACTTTACCCTCATACTTATTACATCAAGCAAGTCACCAAACTCCATCAACCCCCTGCTCCCACTGCTTTACAGGTCATTAAGAAATATGTTGTACATTACAGGTCTTTAAGATTCCACTCCACTGAGAGGGCTAACCATTTACTTTCACATCCACTTCTTAGCCTTCAGCACATTAGCTGTTCATACACTGATTTTCCATTTTAGGCTGACATATTATTTTCATCAAATGTCTTTGGCAAGGGACTGAGAGATGCCTTTTGGAAAAGCAACTATCTCTCATTACATCAACTGGATCATTCTTGTAAATATTTTGATGATTCTCAAGAACTCCAAAGGTTTGTGGGGAAGAGCTTCCCATTACAGGAGATGTAAATTTTCCAAAGTACAACCCTCTCTTTATCCAGGTATCCAATATATTTATTATAAACTCTACTGACGTGTTCAACACAAACATCACAACTGGAAACACGGAGTTCCCTTAAACTGATGCACTTACAAAAATCAGCATTTGCCATCCTGCCAGTTCTCAAAAATCAAGTTCATTCTAAGCAAGACTTCAGACATTCATCATTTGACTTTTTCATCCCTGAGTTCTTCTAAAAGTTCTCCAGTGCAAAGCATCTTGTCCTGGAAATTTATTCACTCTGTCAGTTTGTTCCACAACCTCTGCTACAGTCACTTCAATTTCAGACAGGTCCTCTATCAAATGCATCCTTGCAGATTCAACATGTCCGTGCACTACTTCACTTACATCTATTACATCTTCAGGCTGGAAAACTACTTCCACACTTACAACTGCCACTCGCAGATTTCTTTCCATGTATTCTACTACATCTTTCAGATACTCTCTGCAATAGCCATAAACCAAACCACATACACCTCTCTCTCCCCCAATGCATAAATTTTTTAATCTTATGACAATGATTAGTACTTCAAAACACATCATGAATAAGATAAAACTAAAATACAGAAATACCGGCCTATGAAAACAGCAACATTTTGACACAACCATATATTACACTAAGTAGCTTTCTTCTCCATGTTCCTCAAAGATTGCCTCAAGCCCCTGTGGTTTAGACAGACACAAGGCAGCCAATTTTTTGTCTCAAAGCTCTGAGAGAGAGAGATTCACTCAAAGTCAATCTCATGTACACAGAATCAAGACAGCTGAACAAATTATTTGAAAATCTTTCCATTTCCAGTCTGACAGATGGAAGGTTTGAAAATCCTTGAAGTTAAGGGTAAATCATTCAACCAAGGTAACAGTTCTGATGCTAAAAGGAGGAGATCCCATTCATTCTGCTCCCTTTATAGTCGTATCATGTACTTCTGCAGCTCATCTCAAGTCATCCCCGGTGCCCACTGCTCCACAAGCAACTAACGTTAAACTACACATTTACTCAAGGCATCTTCCAAGAGATCAATTTCTATATCAACCACAAAAGTGTGATCAGCATTGTAGGCTACACGGTCAGCTAGTCCCAGGTGAAGACTGATCACAGGAATGGTGGAAAGGATGAGAAAAATATACTTAAAAGTATACTGAGAATTTGCTGTTGTATGTGCCTGTAATGCCTGTAACATCCCCTAGAGTGTCAGCTAAGAAAATTTGCTCTTGTGAAAATACAGTTCTAGAGTCAAATACGTTAAGCTACCTTACAGGAAGGAAAGAAGGAAAGTTGCCCCTTGGCTGAAGCTGTGGTAACCTAGATGATCGGACAACTGAATCACAGAGAATATTTTAAAAACAGATGTACAAATCAAAGCAGCCCGGGTACATTTCAGAAATCTACATGTATTTCAAGGAACCCTTGCATCAAGGAACCCTTGCATCAAGGAATGACCAACATGTAACAGAAAACCAGAAATTGCATTTGCAAGACAGCAAGTTTCGTAAATACAATAATAATCATCATCATCATCATCTACAACTTGGAATGCCTGCAAAACTAGTAAAATTTAACTAAGGCATTAAAATCACATCCCAAAGTCTTTGAAACTACTTTCACTTCTTCTCAAAGAGAAAAAGGTTTCAACCTAAATAGTAAGTATTCTTTGTAGAAATGTTAAGTACAGGATTGATTCTGCAACCCAAATCTATTCAAAGTACACTTTTATTTCAACATCCTTCCTGGTTTCAGAAACATACGTGAGAAGAAAAATCATTATATATAAAGAAACGAATAAAGGACCTTATAACAAACCTCATTAATAGTTAATGCAAACTGAACATAAGGCATAACAGCAGCAGCAAAAAAAAACACAGACCAATTTCAGACTTATGGATAAAATAAGAAGAAAAATATTCAGAAAACACAAGCAAGCAAGCAAAATACAATCTTTGGTAGCACAGAAATAATTTGTATTTTAGTTATAATTGTCTTCATCTTAAGATGCACTGATTTCACCTGTACTTTTTCCAGAAAAAGGAGCTATTCAAAATGGAGCAGGAACCACTTCAAAAGTAGCTATAAGTGACTGAACTAAATTTAAACTAAATAAAAATTACAGTTCTGTAAAAAAAAAAAATTAGTTTTCTGACACTGCCTATAAAATAATAGGCCTAAAGTAGGAGCCTTTGAATATCTGTGCACTATGTAAATTTCTCTCTGGAGTGTGATGTACAAATTATAGTCAGTCTGATTTAGTATTTTCTCTGCAGAGGCTGTTAGTTGCTCAACCATAAAGGTTTAGTACAATAAATGATAGATTTTACAACACTCCATATAACCTAAGACATTTCCTCACACTTAAAAATGTTGTAAGTGTAATCTTTAAAAAAAAACGCAGTTTAAAACTCGCTATTAATATATTTAGTCTATACATTATTTGAAGTGTTAAGGGATGTGGCATTAGAAGACAAAACACGATAAAGCATTCACCTCAAAGTAGATGTTTTATAGTCAATTTCACAATTTCTGTGCATTAATGTACAGTGAAACGATGGACTATTATGTACCACTCAGACACAGAAAATTATTTGTGATCAATAATAATTCTAAGTTACTAGTTTCAGACCATAATTTTTCCTAAGAGGCAAGTAATTCTGAAAATATGCGAACTTTTCCATCAGTAATAAGTTTAAAGGGAAAATGGTAGAGCACTACTCATCCCCATCTTGTTCAACTCTTCTTTAACAACTGACTTTGCAACCTAAATGATGTACCTGGAGATTTCACAAAGGGGTTTCCATAGCCCAATTTCACTGTTGCTCCATGTCTTACAAGCTCCAGATCAGATTTTTTTTTCCCCCCTCTTTTAAATGATCAACAATACCTGCTTGGAACAAATGCATTTTGCTTGTCCAACCCTTATATAACAGAAAATAAAATGGGAAGCTACTGCATGCACACACACTTACAGCCACAGGAATTAAAAAACTTGGAAGAAAAGGCAGCTGAAAAGTAGGTTCTAGATAGCACTATGGAAAACATCTCAAGTCACCTTAAAGCAACACAGGTCCCTCTCCTTTGACTGAACAGAATGGCTGCAGAGACAAAGAGGTGATCTGAAACAATGTACCTCAAGAAAAAAAAATACCAACCTGTACACACACAAAAAACAAACAAACAAAAAAAACCACCACCACCCCAGCTTTTCACCCATTCCAAGAACATTGCTGAAATGTTCCTTTGTTGAA